TTGGCTGAGCCTCTTTCCGAGGCTCCCCCAGGAGAGTTCGTTGACGCTGGTTTGGGGCTGGCTCCTTCGTCTGAGGCGCCTTCCGATCAGATGGCTATGAGCGCTCTTTCGGGTGAGGTGGCAGGTTCGGCTTTTTCAGGGCCGCATTTTCCCAGACCCGAGTTTCAGACGGGTCCTTCACCTTCGGGCGCGAAGACGCCCGCAAGCTCGATGTTTGACGAGGGCGCTTCTGCAATCGTGCCTTCAGTGGTGTCTTCAAGTGCTGTTTTGTTTGAGCCTCCAACTGTTGAGGCTCGCCCTACGCTTGTGGGGCCGTTTTTGGAAGAGCCTCCGTCTGGTGAGGTTCGCCTTTCAGCTGCTACTTTGGCTGAGCCTCTTCCGGGACTCCCCCAGGAGAGTTCGTTGACGCTGGTTTGGGGCTGGCTCCTTCGGTTAAAGCGCCTTCCGATCAGATGGCTTTGAGCGCTCTTTCTGGTGAGGTGGAAGGTTCGGCCCTTTCACGGCAGCATTTTCTCAGACCCGAGTTTCAGACGGGTCCTTTACCTTCGGGCGCAAAGACGCCTGCAGGCTCGAGTTTTGACGAGGGTGCGAAGGCACTCTCAGTCTCTGACCTTGAGTTGCTCAGCTGCTTCGTCGGTGATGAGGTAATTGAAAGTCTGCGGGTAGAGCAGTGGTTAGTGGCACCCGTTATGAGTGCAGCGTCTCGGTTGGTCCTGGCAGAGGGTACAAGGCTAATGCCAGTCGCATGAGCCTTGCAGGCGCACGCTAGCTAGGCAGCTGTATGCAGCTAGCCTCATTATCACGCCACCAAGTGCTAACCTGCTTGCAGAGTTGAGCTTGGCGTCGCACGCAGTGCAAATCCTCCTCCTCCTCATCCTATTCCCTCCCCTCGTCCCTTCCTCTCGGGCCCCACGCAAGGGGAGGGTAGGGGAAGGGGGGGAAGGCTAAATCTGTTGTATGCAGCTGGTTTCGGCCCCGCCGCCAGGACCATTCCTCCACACATTGGCGCTTCCCGGCGCCACTGGACGCCAAGAAAACCCGATACGTGAGCTGATTCTCTACCATGCTTTCTGCTATCATATCCCGTCGTTTCCCCCGATACTCGTCCCCCCCCCCTCCCCATCCCCCATCCTCCCTTCCCCCCCCCTCCTCGTATGTGCTCTTCTTCCTCCATCCCCCATCCTCCTGCTCCCATTTCCCCTCGTCCCTTACTCGTCCCTCCCCCCCCCATCCCCCTTTTTTTCGAGGAGGAGGGCCGCCTGCCTCCATCCCTCCCCGATGTTTCACAGAGCCCTCATCCTGTGGTGGCTCTGGTCATCCCTCCCCCATCCACCTCTTCATCTTGATCTCCCTTCCTCCTCCTCCCTCTGGACGCAAGCTGTGCGGCCAAATTGTCTTGACCACGTGTTGGACGGCTCACAGCGGATAGCACCAAGCGCATTGCAAGTCCGAAACATGAGCCACAAACTCATCCATACATGGGTCGGCCAATTATGGCCACATTTGGCCTTTGTTTTTGGCTGAATCCCCAGGCTATTCAATGAGAAGACGACGTCTCACCAGCACGCGTGAACTCAGCCGTGTGCCGCGGCTAATCCGAGGAAAGTCAGTTCTCCTGATACCTCTCCCGTGCCGGGTAGCTCCTCCTCTCCATCCTCCCTCCTTGTCCTCCTCCACCTCCCGCCTTCCCTCCTTCCTTCTCTCTTCCTCCTCTTCCCTCCCTCCCTTCCTCCCTCCTTCCCTCCCTCCCTCCTCCCCTTTCTCCCTCCTCCTTACCTCCTCCTCCTCATCCAACTCCTCCTCGTCATTGCTCCTCCCTCCCTGCCTCCTCTTCCTCCCTTCTCCCTTGCTGCCTTCATTCCTTTTCCGTATAGAGAACTCTTCCCTTTCGCACCCCGAGGCCGGTCGAAAGGGCGGGCCGGGCGTTTCGCTTGAGACTTCCTCACCACTTAGGATCCCGAAGTTTCAGAATCTGCAAGAGTCTCATAGATGGAGGACGGGTGGTTTTCAATACGTGGATCTCGCCTCAGCACCGCGCGCAGTTTTTGTTGACATCTGAAGAGCTTCACGGGTTGAGGGCGGACGATTGAGGGTTGGCTTCGAAGGATTGCAAGAGTTCCACGGATCGAGGACGGTTTGTTTTCAATATGTGGCTCTCGTCTTAGAGCCGCGGAATTTCACGGATTCCCATGGTCAACGTACCAGAATTTGTGTGTACGGACGGATTCAGGACTGTGAGAGTGCAACAGTTGCATTGATTCGTGGCGTTGAAGTCCCAGGAGTGGTTATCTGGCACGGTTCAGGACAGTCAAGATGCAACAGTCAGGTTGATCCGTGACGTTGGAGTCCCGAGAACGGTTTTCTGGCGTGTCTCCAGACAGGGCATCTCCCGCGGTGAAGCTGCACCCTTGTAGGGGCCTGCGAAGAGGGAGCTTGGAGGGAGGGCTGTACTCCAATATCGTTGATGAGTCGTGGTTTTGCGCTGGTCTTCAACCTCCTCCTCCTCCGCCTCCTCCTCCTCCTCCTCCTCTTCCCCATCCTCCTCCTCCCCCTCCTCCTCCTCCTCCTCCTCCTCCCTCCTCTCCTCCTCCTCCTCTTCCCCATCCTCCCTCCTCCTCCTCCTCCTCCTCCTCCTCCTCCTCCTCGAGGAGCAGCAGCGGGGCGAGGGCCGCCCCCTGCGCTCCTCCGAAGGACCAGCGGCCGCCGGCGCGCGGGGTCTGGCTGCCCTTCAGCGCACGGGTCAGGCCAGCGTGGCCGAGGGGGAGGAGGAGAGAGGGAAGGGGAGGAGGAGGAGGAGGAGGAGGAGGAGGAGGAGGAGAGGAGGAGGAGGAGGAGGAGGAGGAGGAGGAGGAGGAGGGGGAGGGGGAGGAGGAGGAGGAGGGAGGAGGAGGAGGAGGAGGAGGAGGAGGAGGAGGAGGAGGAGGAGGAGGAGGAGGAGCAGCAAAGGGAGGAGGAGGAGGAGGAGCAGGATGAGAGGGAGGAGGAGGAGGAGTGATGGAGGGGGGGGAAGGTGGGCGGGGAGGAGGGGGGGATGAGAGATGGAGGGGACTGGTTGACGGGGTGAGGAGGGGGGATGGGTGGGGGAGAAGGAGGAGGAGGAGGAGAAACAGGAGGAGGGGAGGAGGAGAAGGAAGAGGGCAGAAAGGGTGACAAAACATCGTTGAGGGTCAACAGAGTGGTAAACAACAAATCGTTGAGAGTCAGAAGTATTGGGGGACAGAATTTGTTCCCGCGCCCGCCGTGTGGGAGTTCCTCTAAATCCCATTCAAAGACTGGTTGGGTGGTTGGTTGGTTGGTTGGTTGGCTGATTGGCTCGGCGATTGCTAGATCAAACAGTTTTATATGGGAGGTTGGTTCGTTTGTTGGCGGGTTGGTTGGTTGGTTGGTTACCTGCTTCTCTGATTGGCTCCCTGGCCGTGTTTCCGTTTGCCCGGGAATGGTTGGTCGATTGGTCGTTTGGTTGGTTCGCTAGATGCCAGGACATTCATTTATTACCAGAAGTGGTTGGTTGGTTGCTCGGTTGGTTGGCTGATTAGTTGGAGTGGTTGGTTGGTTGGTTGGTTGGCTGGGTAGCCGGTTGCAAGCTTCCCAGGGTGGTTGGCCGGTTCTCGCTTCAACCCCCCTCCCCTCCTCACCCTTCTTCCCTCCTCACTCCTCCTCCTTCCCCCCTCTTCTCTGTACCATCCTCCCTTCTGCTCCCTCCCTGTCCCCATTATACTCCTCCTCCTCCTCCTCCTACTCCTCCTGCTCCTTCTCCTCACCCTCCCCCTCGCCCGCAATTTGCTGCAATGCAGCGTATTGCATCAGCAATGCAAATGCAATGCAGTGCAACACAATGCAACGGAACATGATGCACCGCAATGCAACGCAATTCAATGCAACTGTAACGCAATGCCATGCAACAGGATGCAATGCAATGCAGTGCAACACAATGAAATGCAACGCAATGCAATTACATAAAACGCAACGCAATGCAATGCACTACAATGCGATGCACTGTAACGGAATGTGCGTCGCGTCACGTGGCAGCGCCGCTTGGCCGAAACACATATTTTCCATTCCCTGCGGCCCTGCGCCGCGTGGCAACCCTTTGGCGGGCGACACAGTACTATTTTACTCTACTCGTCACGTGGCAGCGCCGCGGGGGATGAGAAAAAATACTATTCCAGTCTATTCGCCACGTGGCACCGCCTGCAGGAGGCGCACAAACAGATATCATTCTACTGTGCTCGTCACGTGGCAACGCCGCTGGGGGCCGACAAAGTATTCGCGACCCGATTAAGGAGGAGGATGAGGAGGAGGAGGAGGAGGAGGAGGAGGAGGAGGAGGAGGAGGAGGAGGGGGGGGGGAGCGGAGGAGGGCGCGGAGGACGAGGGCGTTGGGTCAAGGATGGGGGCAAGAGGAGAAGAACGAGGAGGAGGAGGAGGATAAGGGCGCCGAGGAGGGGGTGGAGAGGGAGGAGGACGAGGAGCAGGAGGGATGAAACAGGAGGGGGAATGAGGTGGACGCATACGTCCACGATTCGCGAAGAAGAATCAACAGCGGCTGGCGCTCTTACAGCGGCAGGCGCTCTTGTGCCGCGATCTGGGCTTAATGGCAGTGGTGTGGACATGCAGGAGTATCCCCCCGCCTTCTCCTCCGTGTTCCAGCTGTTCTTCTCGACAACAACAGTTTCGATTTCTGATTGTATGTGTGATGGGGGGGAGAAGAGGGAGCTCCTTCTCCTCTCCCCCCTTCAGTGAAACCTTGAGAAGCCTCCGAAGGCATCCGAACATTGTGGAAAGCAGCACGAAAATCCTCCGCCCCATACCCCCCTGATTCTTTTCTCGCCCCGCCTCTGTGGGAGACGAAGTCAGATATGCAGTCCGGAGGCATGGGGAGGGAAGATTGGTGGCAGGGGAGGGGGAGGCAGGGAGAACAGGAGGACGGGGGATGGCGGGAGGCAGAGAGGCGTGGGATGGCGGGGAAGGGGAGGCAGGAAGAGCAGCATCGAGTACGGCCAAGAAGCAGGAGTAAGGACGACCACGTTGGGCTCAGGAGTGGCGATGCTTTTTGGGGATCGCTCCTTGGACTTCGGTCGGGGCACCTACTCATGGCCTGGGCTGGACGTGGCAGGAAAAACATTGCGTGTCCGTTTTTGGCGAGCAGCCACCCATCACCCTGCCCTCATGGGTGGTGGGCTACGCACCTAGTGAGGTGAGTTGCATCTGCTTGCAGCATCGTGATCCTCGCATCCCCCCTTCCCCTTCCCGCCTCTCCCCCCATCACTCTCCCCCCATTGCAGAGACTGCCAGCTGATGGTAAGTCGGGAGTGTTCGTTGCCAGGCCTGTCACTCCGAAGGGGCGCAGGGGGAGACAGGCCAGGGGCCAGCCCCTCCGCTTCCTCCAGTCCTGGCCACTCCTGCTTCGCACTGCGCCAGCCAGGCCCGCACTTGTGCGGTCAGGTCGAGCTCGTGCCAGCCTCGGCTCAGCGTTCGTCGTCGGCCGCGTCCGGCGACGAGCTCCCGGATCCCGCTGCTCCCGTGCCCCCTGTGCGTGCGCAGGATCCGTCTGCCCGCTCGTGCTCGCGCTTCGCTTCCACGCTCGGCCTGATCTGGTGCGGCGGCATGGCAGCTCCGTCCCCCCAGGGGTGGGCCTAAACAGTGCTGTGGCGATGTCGTGGGCCGTTTTCGGTTCGACTTCGTTTTGCGTTGAAGGTCGGATGGAAGACAAAACGAGGGAAAGCTAAAACAAAACGAAAACGAAAAACACCGTTTAGGTTCAGCCTTGTGTCCCCCTCCCTGCCCTCATGTTGCACCCGGCCCCAGACAATGGGTGGCCCAAGGGCCAGGCTCGAGCGAGCTCCCCGCCGCAACGCAGGAAAGGGTCCCGTGGCAAATCACGTGCGCCTTAGTTGTCCTCGCTACTCCGTTTGTAGACTGCATTCGCATGCGCTCGCGTTTGGTAATCGACGAGGCAGCGCCGATGTAGCGTCGATTTAGCGTCGATTAGCGTCGATTCGCTCGAGCCTGCAAGACGGTATGGGAGGCTCCCGTGAGTTGCCACCGAACAGGGTATGGCGGCCACTGCTATGCACACTGCCTGAGCATCCCCTGGATGGCCGGGCGCCCTCCGGTGGCCGTTGCCGCGCTGCTCCTGGCGGCGTTGTGCTCGGTTTCTGAAGGGCATGGCTCCGCGGCCGCGGTGGGTTCTCAGATCGCACAGGAAGTGAAAAGGATGTGAACATGCATGTTCGGAGGTCCGCGCAGATTTCTTGGATCGGCGCTGGGCCCCCCATGCCTGACGAGCGGAGCGCGCGAGCGGCTGCGCTGGAGGTGCTGCCAGGGGGCCACCAGCGCCGATCCGAGCAACACGCGCGGACCCCGAACGTTTATGTTAATGCCGTTGTAGCCTTCCTCTGCTGATCAGCGCTGGCGGTGCGTCAGCCGCCACCGCGGCGAAGCGGCTGCGGCGCACGGGGGGCCCGCTGCTGTATCCCGACTGCAAGTGCAGCTGCTGCACGGTTGAGCTTCCGCTCACCAGGAGTGCGCTGACCGGCAAGCAGGAGCTGAAGTGCTTGCCGCCGCCGCCGTTCTCCCCTGGGCGCTGCATGGACATGTGCAAGACGCGGGACTCCATCTCGAGGACGACGCAGCGGCATTCACACACGCACTCATACACACACATGTACACATGCACACATTCATACACACACAAGCACACTGCTGAATCGGGAATTACGGGGCGCAAAATCTACCCCAGGTTTTTCGACATCGGCCTTCGAGTGTGCCTGTGCAGTCCCCCGTCGGTTTCGCGACAGGGCGTTTTACCACAGGGTGTTCTGTCACAATCCTCGATTGGAGCTCGGCGCGGGTTTCTTGGATCTGCGCCGCCCCTGCCGCGTCCCGCGCGCCAGGGTGGGGTGCCAGCGCTGAGCCAGGACATCCGCGCAGACCTCCAAAAGTCATGCTCATACAGTTCTGCTTCTTCCTCGATCCATCATGGCCGTGTCGGAGAAAGACGAGAATGGCCAGCACTTGGTCAGCTACAACCGGTTCTGCTTTCTCGAGTGCAGGCCGCCCAGCTGCGATTCTCCGCCAGCGCAGGACATACCGTGCTGGCCCATCACCGCGGACCAGGTCGCTGAAGCAAGCACCCGTGGGGGGAACGGCCAGGAGATCGATACTGGCTGCTACTCGTGAGACAGGTCTAGCGCACAGTGGGCCCTGGAAACGACAGGGTCATTTGTTCTACCAGTTCCGAGTTGCAGTTGTTTTGCACTTCCTGCGCAGTGTTTGTTCTCGGTTTCGTTGCCGTTGTTTTTCCAAGTGTGGTTCCGGCTCCAATCCCTGAGCCGTTTTTGTTCCAGTGTCCGAGGGCAATTGTGGCTTCGTTTCTTGTAAATGCCATCAAACAGCCTTGCCGTTTCCGGCCCCCTAAGGCCCATTATGATTGTCGTAGATTTCAGAGCGCGAGGGCTACAAACAATGTGACCGGCGCGACCCCGATTAGTTACGGGATCGTCATCAACAAGAGGAACGGTACACATTATATCCATATGAGCCCATGTGGTGTCTACGATCAGAATGCGGTACAACATGTTCTTCCCCTCAAATCCAAAGTGAGGATTTCGCTTTGTCTGGACACCTCCGCGCAGGAAAGAACCTCATTCTCTCTGCCTCTCCTCACGCTCACACCATCAAACCATCATCAGCACCTATCATCCTCCCACCGTGGCCATCGGACACCATCATTACACTCGCACGCACTCACACACTCACACATGCTCACACAGTCACATTGAGGACCTCTCGGGCGGGAGCCTCGTCTCAGCGTGAATTACGTGGAAAACTCGAGCGGCCCGAGCGAGAGGCCCCTCACTAGGGGGGGCCGCCAGATCATGCTACTGATCCGGCAGACCTTTCACACGCTTCGGGGCGCCAGTGAGCTGCACTGAAGGCGATGCTCACAACGACGGCACCCACAACTGCACGTGGTTGGGCCCTTCGCCCCGATGATATGCCAGGCAGCCCCCGAACATACTAGCATGCACGTGTTCTGGGCTAGAGCCAGATCGTGCTGTAATGTATTGGCTCAAGTTGCAAGCAGTAAAGGTCCCCGTGCGTATTGCCATTGATTCACAAAGCTTACGCTCAACGAACGAAGACGTTCCGAATCAGGATTTTCATCATAATCTGGAGCTCCTCATTCATCGGCCAGGTCACCGCCATCTCCCCCGCCAGACAGCGCGCTCTCTCCTCCCCGACCCGTTTATTTAGGCACAGCGCAGGCGCCGCGCCCGCCCCCTTTCCCCCACCGCAGGCAGCCAATCTTTTCCTCAACCACCAGCCAGTGCGCCCGGTCTTCCCCGACCATTATATTTCGGCACTGCACCAGCACTGCGCCTTCCCCCCCCCCCGCAGCCAGCCCGCCTCCTCTCCCCCAGCAGCCAGCGCGCCCCCTCCGCCCCAATCCCTTTCATGTTGCTCGTCCGCAGCCGCCAGCGCGTCCTCTCCGCCCCGACCCCTTTCATTCGGCACGGCACCAGTCTCCCCCTCCCGCCCCCTCTGCAGCAGCCAGCCCCAGCCCTCCTCCCCCTTCCCTGCCAGCCACGCCTCTGCACGGCACCTGGCACCGCGTCCGCCCGCCTCCCCATCTCCGCAGTCAGCCCACCTCCTCCCCCACCAGCCAGCCAACATCCTCTCCCCCTCCGCCCCGACCAACCAGCCGCCAACCCGCCCCGACCCTTTTCTTCCGGCACTGCAACAGCGCCGCGCCCGCCTCCTTCCCCCTCTTCCAAAGCCATCCCGCCTCCAGTCAGCCGGCCCCTCCGCCCAGACTATGTACTTCACTCGGGCACGGCACCCGCACCACGCCCCACCCCCTCCCTAGCCAGCCCACTTTTTCTTCACCACAAGCCAGCGCACCCCCTCCGCTCCGCCCCCTTTCTTTCGGCACGTCCCCCCCCCCTCCGCGGCCAGCCCACCTCTGCTTCTCCCCCACTGGACAGCGCGCCCCTTCCGCTCCGACCATTTTCTTTCGGCACGGCGCCTGCGCCGCGCCAGCCCCCCCACGTCCGCGGCCAGCCCACCTCATCCCATGCCATCACTCAGCGCGCCCCCTCCGCCCTGACTCCTTTCTTTCGGCACGGCGCCGGCACCGGACCCGCTCCCCCCCCTTCCGTGGCCAGCCCTCCCTCCCTCCTCGCCCCGACCCCTCCCTCCCCGCCCCTACCCCTTCATCAGCCAGCCCTCCCTCCCCGCCCCGACCCCTTTTCTTTCGACACGGCGTCGGTACCGCGCCTGCCCCTTGGTTTCACCACAGGCCGCCCCCACTGTCCCGACCCTGCTGCTTCGGCACAGCACGGGTCGCGCCCCTCGTCCACAGCCTGCCCAGACTCTTCGGCCACCAGCCAGCGCGCCCTGGTGTCGGCCATGCGGATCAGCCCCTTGGCTTCCGCCGTGGCCCCTTGCTGTCTCGCCCGCCAGTCTAGAACCGTCTTCTTGCCCGCCCTGCAGTCCGTTGCTCGCCGTCTTCGCCTCTGTGACTGATTATGCTTATCTCCCATCTTCGTCTGCTTACTCCGTTCCCTGCTCCCGGCGCTCCCCTGTCCTTCCCGTCTTCCTCCCACCTTGTCCTCCCTCCCCCATTACCTCTCCTTGTTCTCCGTTTCCCGTGTCCCCGTGTCCTCTGTTTTCTCCCTCGCCATTTGTTTTCTCCAGTGTTGACCCTCCCTTATCCCCCCCTCTCCCTCTCCTCCTCCTCTTTCTCTTCCTCCCTTTCCCCTTCCCTTTCATTCTCTCAAGTCGTGGCGAAGCGTCCTGGCTTGCCTAAAGGCCCACCATCGAATGTTCTAATAAGCTTTTGTTGTTTACACGAATTACCATTCGAACATTTCTGGCTGAGACTGTCTTGTTTTAGTACATCGGGCTTATGTTCTAAGCTCATTGCTTTTGTTATGAGAACATGTTTGAGTTCTAAGGACATATCGTGGTAGGCCTGTAGGAATGTTGGGACGGTC